CGTGTGAATTCTATGTTCTTTTTTTATGTAATAAGTCCATCTGGAATATTCTACTACCACTTTCCAACTTTCCTCTGTAATGTTGCCTCATTTATGAAACTTTCCCTGATCCTCATAGGCATAATTACATGGTCTCTCCAAGGTTTTTCCAAGCTGTGGCTACATATCTTTGCTTGTATCTCTGCTTTGTCTTTGGTGGTGTTTTGCTTTATTTTCATATGTATCTTCTACCTTACTATCTTAAAAAAATCTCTATAGTTCTTTCCACAGCACCATAAGAGAAATTCTAGAAATCTTTTTTGATCTTATATTATTGATCCAAAGAAACTTAACTGGTTTTGGACGCTCAGTCTTGTCTTGATCTATTGACGCTTTATACAATTTCTAAGTTTAGGTGAATGGTTAAGTTATGTGGTATATATTCACACCAATCTTATAGCCCTATTCTAAGGTTTTTTTTTTTTTTTTTTTTAAATTTATAGGCCTAAGTTCTGGCATAGTTACCTGTCCACTTCTTCTGTTCCTCTTGGACTGGCCTTTTCATTGCCTTTGCTACTTGTTTAGCTTATTCCTTACTCTGTCTCTGATTTTCTAGGCTTGCATGTTGCTATCTCATGATGTCTGTGTCTTGTTTTAGAAGTATCATAGCAACACCTGTCCTAAGCTCATCATTACCATGCTTAGGACATGGGTGCTTTCAGTTAGGCTTCATAGTCTAGGCTTTACCTAAAACACACCTGCTGTGTCTTCTCATCCCCTCTAAAACTGGGTCAGTACCCTTAGCCCCTCTGATCCTCAATGACCTGACTCTGGGCACTGACCACTCCCAATCTACCCTGTGCTACTGCCTTCCAATATAGCCTGTGTTGATCTCTCTTTTTCTGATGAGAGATTATCATTCTGAAAGCACATAGATTTAGCTGAGTCTTTTTATGTGTTCTCATTTTTCCTTTGGCTGCATAAAACAAATTATTTCTCTCTGCAGGGAATGTCTTTCTGAATTTGAAGAATCCATGAAGAATCTGTATGATATCTCAAGTATTCTTGGAGTTGGATCTGACTCATAATGACCCCTCCTTGGGTTTCTGGAGTGATATCATTACAGAAGTAGATTGCCCAATCTGCGTTCTGAGGAGTGGCTGGTGGGTTTGAATTGCCAGCCTTCTGGTTAGCAGTCAAATGGCTTAGGCACTATGCCACCAGAGCTCAAGGTCAGGTAATATGTGAATGTCAATACTTACATGTTAGGTTTCCAATCTCAGCCTAGACTTATACTTACCATTTCAAATATAGCCACAGGAGACATTTACCATCTTGTCCAGCTTTGCCATTCGTTTTGGTAAAAGCTCTATCCTTCTCATGATTTCACCTATCTCACTTGAGGTCTTCTATTATAATGTTCTATGCTGGTCCTGAGGATGCCTCTTTCTGGGTCATCAAACCAGATGAGTCCTTTCTCCATGACAGATCTTGGGTGTGCTGGGCTTTGCCTACCTCCTTGTACACGTTGTCACCATGCCTTGGAAAATTGATGAAATCAAGGACTTTCTGCTCTGTCTGTGGGGGCTTTGTTCTCCTCTTGATAAGACAACCTGGAATAAGCTGTTCAAAATAGTCCCTGCTGGGGATGTTCTCTGGGGCCCTAATAAGAGAAAGAGATCTTGTTAGAACTTTGACGAGAAAGGAGAAGTACTAATTGGTGTCTAGGTAGTAGGAGTTTCATCCTGGGTCCCTACAGGCAATGCCTGAAAAGTTTCCCATTAAATGTCTCATTCTTGGAACCTGGCTGGTAACTTAAATTCCCATCCCCCAGTAGGTCAATCAATGCAATCTTTGGTGGGTATTTGCTAAAGATAGGCCCAAAGAACAGAGATGCATGCAGGTTCTATTCACAAATTAATTCCCTAATCTTCCCTGATCTGGACAACCTGATAGTTTGTCTGGGCTACAATTGCTTGTTCTCAAGACAACCACTGAAAATTGGTAATCTAGGCAATACTGCATATGTTCTACATGGACCTTTGGTGTTGTATGGACATAGATATATGTGGGATCGAGTGTGTGAGAATTCCTCACCATAAATCAACAAACATTCTTCTTGTCCTGGGTCAACAGTAGACAATTTGGAATTCTGTTTCTCTTTGAAGCCTACAGGGTGAGTGATGGGAAAGCATTTACAGAGTCAGTTTCCACTTGAGTCTAGGATTCCTCTGGTTTTTGAACTTTCTTATCTCCCTTTATTTACTTTCCTGATGGAAGTATAGGAGCTGAATTTACTGTGTCAGATTTTTCAATGAGGCAAAAAGACATAAGAGACAATATTATTTTTTGAATCCTGAGGGGTAGTTGAGACACCAGATGTAACAGTTTTTGGCCTGCAAGGAGGGGCAGGGTGGGGTTGCTTTGAGGGTTGAAGCAAGTGGTCAGGCCATTAGAACCACATTTCCTGACCTTTATCTCTTCCCACAAATCACACCCAGGGACTACTGAGGGGAACAATATGTTATTGCAAGGGAAGAAGGGACCGATGTGGGGGTGAAGATATGCTATTTTTGGCTTGGTTGCTACACGTTACTATTTTATATCATTCACCAATGAAATGAATGTATTTGGCCATCTTTTGACAGATGAAATGCATTGTTTCTCAATTGCTAAAATTTCTGTTTTCTTAACCAGGGCTCCTAATGCAGCATTTATTTCTGATAATTCAGTTACTACAATACTACTACTACTATTCCTCTTTTCAGAAACTGGCAATGAATTTTTACATATTTTATTTTATTTGATTCTCGCAATGATCTCGTGAGGTAAGTTCTAGCACGCTCATTTTACATGTGAGGAAACTAAGCTTTGAAAGTGGTTAAATGCTTTGCAGAAAGTTATACAGCCAACATATGGCAAAAACAGTCCCTTAAAGTAGGACTTTGACACTTTGACTCTTGGCCCAGTGTTTATTCTTTGATACTAGGACTTTGAAGTCCACTCATATCTCCTGTCCTCACAGGGCTCATACATTCTGCTGTCATCACATAGTCCCCTTAGCAGCTGTGTTGAAGGTATGAAAAATAATTACACAGTTGGCTTTTGGGGAGAAAAGCAAAACTTCCTTGACCATTTCAAAAGAGTGCCTTTTCTTCTGTTTGAGACCATGCATCCAGGCTGATTTCTGATTCATTCCTTCATGCTTAGAGACCTCTTCTTGCTGTAATTGAGGCTCTAAAATCAAACTTTACCTTTTCTGCCTAGAATGTGAATCACTTCTCTTACACTCTTGTTGTTGTTATGTGCCGTCAAGTTATCCCCGACTCATAGTAACCCCTCTTTGGGTTTCCAAGGCTAAGGCACTTGACTGCTAACCGGAAGGCTGGCGGTTCAAACCCAACAGCCACTCCTTGGAAGGAAGGTTGGGCAATCCTACTTCCGTAGTGATACTGCCTTGGAAACCCAAGGAGGGGTCGCTATGAGTCAGGGCTGACTCGATGGCACATAACAGCAACAACAACGATCACTACGGAAGTAGATTGCCCAACCTTCCTTCTGAGGAGTGGCTGGTGAGTTTGAACTGGTCAGTTATCTATGTGTCCTTGTGTTTGTCTCTCACATGCGAGGATTGAAGTACTGGAGGGCTTGGATGATGTTGGGGAGACATATAATCGTTCTTCATCAGCCCTGCCATTTAGTCCTTTGTGCTGCTCAATCTTAGCCTCAGGGCCAGGGATATTCTTCTCTAGCCTGGCAGCAGCCACTGCTAACACAGAGGCAAGATGGCAGCATCTTAGCTTGGGGATTCAGTACATCTGACTTTCAGTTTGCTTCTGTCACTAAATAGAGCTCAACCCTGGGGAACTTCCTTCTTTCTAGACCTCAGTTTTCTAATTTATAATATACAGCACAACACATGTTAAGGATGTGAGTAATTCTGTATACTTCATAGTGTGATAACTTGAAAAAAGGAATCTGAGTGCCCATCTGCCCATTTTCTAGCCTACTCTCACTAAGATGGCAGTGGTTCAGAGTTCTTTGTCCTTCATATTATTTATTTATTTATTTATTTTTACCATGAGCTTCTGTTTCTTCTCCAGATCACCACAACTTTGACTTTTGTGTCTAGCTTTCTACCAGAGCACCTCAAAGAAGAGGGAGATAATGCAGGTGATGAAGTGAAGCAGTCATTGAGAAATTGGGTGGAGAGACAAGATGTGCACTTGTGAAACAGATGGGGAATAATCCAAGGAAGAGCCTGATTAATGTTGAAGTCTCCAGGGACTGTTTATTCTGTAACGTTGGCAATTAGGTGAAGTTTAGGAGTGGAATCTCTCCAAATTAAGGGATTTCCTTGATGCTAAAATTTTCAGATGAAATTTCATAAGATAAGACTAGGGGAACAGCTGAGGTAAATGTTGATTAAATCAAGCCCCAAAACAAAAACAGAAAACTCCAAATCTATTGCCATCAAGTAGATTCCTACTCATCTTCTGTTCTGTGGAACAGAAGAGAATTGCTCCAAAGTTTCCAAGGCTATAAATCTTTAGGGAAACAGACAGCCACACCTTTCTCTCACAGAGCCATTTTGGGGTTTGAAATGTTGACCTTTTGATTCGCAGTTCAACTCTTAACTACTGTGCCACCAAGGCTCCTTAATCAAGCACCAGCCCCTGGGAATATGAGTCTGATGCAAAGGATTTTTGCTTAATAATAATTCCTAGGTATCAATTTAAATCTGATTTTGTGAATTATCCAGATACATATATATCATAGGATATCTAATCCCGGGAATTGATTTATCAACTTCTCCAATGCATTTGCCACTAAACCAAGGTGATTTGCCTCTTCTGCTTTTGAAGATCTTGCAGAAATTCTGACTAAATAGAAAATTATTTTCAGAGAACTGTAGGGAAAGTGGTGGTGATGGTGGTGAGCTTCCAACCCCTACATTGTTGACTCTAAAATGCCTATCTTTCTTTGCAGTGGCCCTTTTTCTTCTAAGTAAGTTGATGACCATGATTCTTTCCAATCTTACTCATATCCTCCCACATACTTTTTTCTTGGCTGGCATCCCAGGGCTCACAGCAGTTCACATTTGGATCTCACTTCCATTTTGCTTCATGTTCTTCCTAGCAGTGACAGGGAATGGTGTACTGCTTTTTCTTATTTGGACAGAGCACAACCTTCACCAACCCATGTTTTTCTTTCTTGCGATGCTCTCCTTTGTTGACCTGGTCCTCTCTTTCTCTACCCTGCCCAAGATGCTGTCTATTTTCTGGTTTGGTGCTACAGCCATCAGCTCCCACTCCTGTCTTTCCCAGATGTTCTTCATCCATGCATTCTCTGCCATGGAGTCAGGGGTGCTGGTGGTCATGGCCCTGGATCGCTTTGTAGCTATTTGTAAACCTCTGCGCTATGTAAACATCCTTACCCCAGTTGTTGTTGCCAAGATTGGAGGCCTGGTGGTGCTGCGGGGTGTGGGATTGACCATCTCCTTTCTGAGTCTTGCCCATCGGCTGCCCTACTGTGGCTCACACATGATAGCCTATACCTACTGTGAGCATATGGCTGTAGTGAAGCTGGCCTGCAGTGCCACCACTGTGGACAACCTCTATGCCTTTGCTGTGGCAATTTTTCTTGGTGTGGGGGATGTGACCTTTATTGCTTACTCCTATGGGCAGATTGTGAGGACTGTGATGCGTTTTCCTTCACCCGAGGCACGTGCTAAAGCAGGCAGCACATGTACGGCCCATGTATGTGTCATCCTCTTCTTCTATGGACCAGGTTTTCTTTCTGTGGTCAAGCAGAGGTTTGGGCCACCCACAGCCTCTGCTGCCAAGGTCATCCTTGCCAATCTCTACTTGCTCTTTCCCCCCGCACTGGACCCCATTGTCTATGGAGTCAAAACCAAGCAGATACGGGAGCGGTTGTTCACAGCTTTGAGCTCCAATCGGATTGATGCCACTTGAGTATGGCTGCCATGAGCTGAACTTCAGGGGCCAGAGTGGCTCTTCTCTGAGGCCTGAGAACCTTACAGCCCAGGTCATCATCTAGTTTGAACAGTTAAGGGATAGCAAATGAAATTATCCTGAGTGTATGGAAGTTAGCAAATCTTTTCTGAGACCTTGGTTTTTTAGATATTGGAATGAAAAACAGAAAAAGGTTGTTCATGTCATTTGATCAATCAACAAAGTTTCTGGTACCTTTTCCTTCTGAAAGTTTATAATTTACTTGTATTGATAAATGCATCAGGTAATTGGGAAAGAATTAGGACTTTCACTGATTTGGATTCAAGTGTCTAAGGAGTTGAGAGAAGTGCGAGATGAAGTGTGTGTCTGTTTTGGGCATATGAGCAGACATTGGAACTCTTTCAATACCAGACATTCACACATGGTTAGTCTATAGGAGTAGACAGGCCCTATCTATCAGAGTATCTTTGACTTTAGATGCAGAGGGGTGGAAATCTTTGGAGATAATTTAGAATTTCAAGTTTATAGGAGAATTCTTTAAAGTATTCATGCTCTATTTAACTGGAAATGAAAATAAAGCTTGGATTCTTCATTCCATTGTATTCATTTTCAGTCTATTTTTGAGATGGAAGATCTTTTGTAACTACTAAGTGATTTGTATGTTAGCCCCTGAAAGTAATGGTAATTCTTCTTTTATTTCTTCATTTTTAGTCTCAGATGTGGAGACTTGAGTTAACCATATCCCAGTGTTGATTGCTGACAATAATTTTTCTACTTGTTTTATTTATCTTCTCTCTTCATTCCTAAGTCTCTTTTTATCCTCTTTCCAGTCACCTCCATTGGTATCACTTTAATGTATGTTCTTAACTCTTTGTGTATCTGAATATATCTGTGTGTGTGTAATGTATTCTCAGTATACATGTACACCTTTCTTGAATTTCCCCAGGTATGCCATGCTCCCTCCAGCCACAGGGCCTTTGTCTGCATCTCCCTGTCTTTATTACCACCATTTCCACTAATCTGGAATCGCAGTTCAAATTTCAATTCGTTGGAGAACATTTTTCAGATCAATTGCTTATTGATCTCAGAGCACTGTGTATGTAGTATTTCTTTCCTTTTTCATAATTAATTTATAATTATAAATATATATATTTGTTGTTGTTGTTATGTGCTGTCGAGTCGGAACCAACTCATAGAGACCCCTCCTTGGGTTTCCAGGGCAATATCACTGTGGAAGTAGATTGCCACATGTTCCTTCCAAAGAGCGGCTGGTGGGTTTGAACCGCCAGCCTTCTGGTTAGCAGTCATGTACACACACACACACACACACACACAGTGAATAGTATAATGTATATGTAATAAATATGGTCTCTTTATGCTTAAAGAGCCCTGGTGGCACAGTGCTTAAATACTTGGCTGCTAACAAAAAGTTTGGCAGTTCAAACCCACCAGCTGCTTCATGGGAGAAAGATGTAGCAGTGTGCTTCCATTATAGCCTTGGAAAATCTATGGGGCAGTTCTACTCTATCCTACAGGATCACTATGAGCTAGAATCAAGTCAACAGCAGTGTTTTATTTATTTATTTATTGTTTAAAGAGAAGCTCTAGCGCTGCAGGGAGCTCTGGTAGCATAGTGCCTAAAACACTTGACTGCTAACCAAAAGGTTGGCAGTTCAAACCCCCTAGCCATTCCATGGAAGAAAGGTGTAGCAGTCAGCTTCTGTAAAAATTTACAGCCTTGTCATGAGACAAAGTGTATGTCAAGTGTTGTATGGAAAGTGAATTTGCTCTGTAAACTTTCACCCAAATCACACACACACACACACACACAAAATTACAGCCTTGGAAGCCCTATGGGAAAATTCTACTCTGTCTGTCCTGTAAGATCACTATTAGTTGGAACTAACTTGACAGCAATGGGTTTGGGTATTTTTAATATACCTCCAAAGGAGTTCTTGGGTGGTACCAGTGGTTAATGTTCTTTGGACACTAACCAAAAGGTCAACCTAGAAGTTGAGTCCACCTAGAAGCACCTCGGGAAAAAGGCTTTGGGATCTACACTGAAAAGTGACCCACTGAAATCTCTGGGAGCACAGCTCTACTGTGACATGGAGGGGTCACTGTGAGTAGGAATCAGCTGGCCAGTAACTGGAGACAAACAAACAGGACAAAAAGTATATCTATTTCTATATATATATATATATACACACACTGAAAGGGGGCTGATGTGTGATTGTCATGGGCTGACCATGCAGCAAAGGGCAATTATATATGTTTTTGATTGGTTGAATTATTTTTGTCTCCACTCCAATAGATTGTAGGTTCAGTTTTATTCTTAGGTTAGTACTTGTCACATGACTGGTTGTAAATAAATCTTTGTTGAATAAATAAATTTCTTATTTTAATGGGCCATGTCATCATTAGAACATTCCTTCCTCACTTATTATCATAGTATGTTTTGAATGATTGAGTACATTTGTGTAAGTCAACCATAAGTACTTAAGAAATTTTTATTGAAGACACAAAATAAGTTGTCACAAATTTACCATTGCCATCACAATCACTATTAACCTTACTCTCTATCCAATCATCATTACTAATATCACTTTAACTTAGTCTTTTCAAAGTTTTCAATAGCGACATTCTGGACAATATGCAGAGGCACTGGAGGACATACTGTTCTAAGGGAGATTCTCTATGGTGTACAGGTAGAAACCAAACAAGAATATATGCTGTCTTCCTTCTTTTCTTCATATGGTCCCCTTTACTTTTTTTTTGCATTATTTTTTTCCATGTTTTGAATATTAACCAGGTTCTAGAGTTGCAGGAGTTCTCAGAATAATGGGGAGACCAACTTCAAAATGAAAAAATTATAATAAAATGTTGTAGTGCTTGGTTGAGGTTAGTTCCAAGTTGTAAGGTCCTGCAGGAAAAAAAAAAAGAACTAATTTTCACTAGGAGGATGAGGGGCAGGAGAGGAACATGCTTTGGGCTGCACTGAAGGGATAGGAATGACAACGAGTCCCTATGTGGTAAAACGGTTAACATGCTGCTAACTGAAAGGTTGGCAGTTCATGTCCAGTTAGAGATGCCTTGGAGGAAAGACCTGGTGATTTACTTCTTAGAAAAAACAGCCTTTGAAAAAATCAGTGGAGCACAATTCTACTCATACACACATGGTGTTGCCATGAATTGGAATTGACTTGACAATAATGGTTACTGGGCAAGTTCCTCTTACATGCTTTTAACACAGTGTAGTTTTAAATGATAACATTTATAACCATAATTATTGGTATGATTATGTACATAATGTATAATATTCTAAGATCCATCAGGGCAAGGACCATTTTTGTCATGTTAATTATTTATTTTTGGGCAATCTACTTCTGTAGTGATACTGCCTCAGCAACTCAAGGAGGGGTTGCTATGAGTCTGGTCCGACTTGACGGCACATAACAACAGCAACAACAACAAGTACAGAAATTGAAGTAGGCAGATATTTAATAAATATTTATTGACTAATGTGACCCTTCCTTGGGTTTCTGAGGCGGTATCACTACAGAAGTAGATTGCCCAACCTTCTTTCCAAGGAGTGGTTGGTGGGTTTGAACCGCCAGCCTTCTGGTTAGCAGTCAGATGCCTTAGGCACTATGCCACCAGAACTCCTAATGAATAAATGGGAGTTCTGAAATCCTTTCCACCTACAGTGAATGAAATACTTGTTGACTGGGTGAATGAAAAGACTGGTGCTTGAAACATTTTTCCCAAGGAGAATGTGGTCACTAGGGTGGAGTGGTAGCTGCTTCAATCAGCATTAGGACCAAGGGAAAGGCCCTGTTGATGGGAATATAAGATAGAGGAAGCCAGAGCCAATTTCCTTGAGAACTTCCAGGGACGGAGTGTCAGAGAAACTGTTTCTCCTATACTTCCTTTGGCCCAGGGCTGAGTGTCTTTAGCACCTGTCACAATCCTCTGGAGAAGAAGCAGAGGGCTCAGGTGGGCTTTTTAGGTTGTGTTCTTTAGAAACAGACTTTGAGGTATACTGCATAAAATATGTTTATTGGGGAGTATATCTGGTAACAACACCTGTCAGAAAGTGAGGGGAGCAGAATGAGGCAGAAGAAGTTTAAATGCGATGTAGTTGCTCCAGAAGCCTCTGCTGACCAATGTGGAGTGCTTGACCATTGATTCTTCAGTGTTCGCACAGATTGAATAAAGGGAGTTGCATCTTTGTATTCCCACACTGGCCAGTCATCGAGTGTAGTCTGCAACTGGGAAGGAAAAGTAACCTTGGGGGAGGCAGCTCTCTTTGGTCAAGGGAGAGTGAGTCATTATGAGCTTTCAGCAACCAACACTCCCAGCAGCTGGAGGAACCAATGTATTAAACCATGGCATCCACGGAATTTATTGATGTCGGTGCTCCTTCTGCAAGAATAAGAAGCTTGAGCTCCCAGAGCAATGTGACGTACAAATTTTCCCAGCACAACCATCAGGATATACCGATTTAAGGGTGACAAGCAATGCTGGACAAAAGTGGGCCACCCTTTGAAATCCAGTGTCATCTTTGCTTTGCCTCTCCTGCCCAATCATCCTTCCCTGGAGGCAGTAGCCTCAGCACTGTGTGTCTCCAGACAATCTGGAGAATAACTGGCACAGTCCAAATGTGCATGTGATTCCTGTGGGACCTGCCAGTTACCATTAATGACTGACCTGCCCAGGCTCTTGTTCACAGTCACCAGCACTGTCTTGAAGAAGTACCCAAAACAGACATGGCTTCCAGTGTGCAGATGAAAGGACCAGCTGTGAAGTGATGCATGGGATTTCAGGTGTGGAAAATGAGGTCAGGCTTGAGACTTACAGCTTCAAGAAGATTATTCACAACTGAGTCTTGCCTTTCTTACAGCTCTGCGACAGGAGTTATTTCTTGGAATGGCTAATGTGACCCTGATTCCCCCAATACCTCTGGTCTGACACTTCTTAGTAGTTGTGAATTTGCTTCC